GTTGTCGTCTTCGGCGCCATTGTGATGGCCGATATCGACTCGTGTAGCCCGCGAATATGATCTTCGATGGCTGTGAGCCGGTTGTTGTCCGTCACAGTCTTTTCGGCTTGACCCACGGCTGCTTCACCCCCGACCGGGCGGACCGCCCCGATGACGTCGACCTCGCAATTTCGCACCGCCTTGATTGTCTTCTTCGTCTCCTCGAATTCTTTACTAACGCGTACCGCGTCAGCCAGAGTGGATACGTTTTGGTTGATTAACCTCTCTTGCAATTGCGTGTCACGGAGGCCACAGATGAATCGGCCGCACTGGAATCCCTCCATAGCGCTGTGGTCGCTGGGCAGAGCCGGCTGGGCTAGTCCACTCAACTCTCTGATCCTGGCTGAGAAGTCTTCCACAGACTCTGAAGGTGACTGGCAAACTCGGTTGAGCTCGGCATGAGCCTGCAACGTGCTTATTTGCCGACCGAAACGACTTTTTAGTGCTTCAACCACCCTGCCGTAGTCCTTCCGTGACTCTTCGGTGAGTGACGCGAATGTGTCCAGTGCGACTCCGTCCAAAAGACCCACCATAGCCGCCAGCCGGTCCCCGGCTTTCATACTCGCCGTCTGAGCTTCGAATCGGCAGAACCATTTTTGCCACCCTTCACCCGACTCGCCACTAAACTTAGAAGCTCTAGAAAGGAAAAGGGCAGATAAATCCATAGTTTGTTATACTGAACTCTACAGGAGAGAACCTCTCATCACCCAAAGTCTCTACTCACCGGCTCCGTTCACTTTTTCCACCGTGAGCTTGCGTAGGCCGTCACAGAACTCTCACAGCAATCTTCTTTCTTAAAAACTCATATGCAGCCCATTTACGTTATTGGTCCTACCGACCGCGCCAAAATATGTTAGGGCCAAGTAAAGCTGCATATACCACGACACGGTGTATTGTGCTTCCAGCGACCGAATACCAAGCACGGACACGGCGACCCGCCGACTGACCCAGTCTGGTCACGGTCGCGCCCTTATATAACCACGGCACAGAGCGCATGCGCGATGACCGCGCGGCGGTCAGGCGGCTCGCCGGCCGGACGGCCGGGCCGCCGACCCCGCCCTGTTCCACGGCCCCACACGGCCGGTGCGCGGTCACAATATCCCAACACTACGACGCTTATATCTCAGCAACCACTTGACCGATTTACACGCGGTAATTTTTGTAGGGTAGCTTCATTCCTTCTACCAAGTATTGGACTATTCCCGATGCATGTGGGTGACCCCGTATGCACGTGCCACGTGCAAAACGAAGATGTGTCACTTTTGTAATTGTTGCAATGTCTCGGTAACTACTTGGCCGATTGCGCTGAAAGTTGGCATGTAGGTAGGCACCCACTAGGGATTCCAGATCTCGAGAACGGCTGGACCGATGGCGCTCAAATCATGGTGTGTCAAAAGTGGAAATAGCCGCCCGGCTTTAGTTCGCCAGCCTTGTCAATAGATGGCAGTACCACAATATGGGCAGTGGATCGTGCGATTGACGTCAAATTTTCGTTATCTGCTAAGAATTGAATGGCGGATCTTTTCATGCAAGAATCATGTAAATCGGTCCACAACTTTTCTAGCAATAGAGATATGAAGTCAAACACCCTGCCAGAGCGGCGGCGCGCGGCCGGCGGCGGCCGTTACGCGCCGCCTGGGAGACTGGCGGCGCTGAACGGTTCCGACTTGGCACTGCACTAAAACCTGTTAACTGCTTGGAATGGTTATTATAGCAAAATTCTCATTCAAGTGAGGGATAACCAAGGGCAGGAAGTATGTATGCTTGTGTGCGTACTGTGTACTCCAAGAAACTGCATTAGCAGATACTCGCTAATATTAGATCCAGCCAAGCCCAAACGCATTCCAGGGGATGTGTTCCTGATGGGTCAACAATATTTATCGTTCGAGGGCGGATACAGTTTTAACAATACAAAAAATATTTTTGCACAACTCTATTCCTTGAATAATTCTCTTCAACGCCTCATTCCTAGTTAAGCGAATTAGCCCACCCTGGTTGAATAAATAAGGCGATTTCGCCACAAGGTCGCGGAAAACCGACCGAAAACGGCCGCGCTCAGCGTTAATTTGGGCATGCAGACTCTTAAATACTCGCATTGGGCGGGTAGGGTTTCCCAGGTATTGGCTCCAAAACACCGTATTCGGCTCCCGAAATATTATTATTTGGTAACTCATGCAACTGAAAAGTGAGCAAGATGAATGCATGACGACACATTTGAATATAAATAATGTTTTTTATCCAGATGGAAGCAACTTATGGCCAATTGGGGGGTGGCCACTTTGCCCCGCGCATACCGTCCGAGACAAAAATATTCCAGCTTAGCTATAAGTGGGTAAAAAACATCAAAATTGGTAGAAAACATGTACGATAACCATGCAATGCATGGACAAGAACGCTTATCAAAAAATTCCAAACGATTATGGAATAACATAACATTTAAAAATTGTCAACATAGTTGGTAACCTGGCAAGAAATGCTTTTCCGTGTTTCACAGAACAATGGTGATGGGCCTGAAACCCCGGTCTGGCTCATTCGAACGACCGTGAAGAGAAGAATGATTGGAAACCATAAATTGGAACTGACGCCAGCTATGAAGGGCTAAAACGATGGGTGGCCGCTTTGCCCCGGGTGACCGCTTTACCCCACTCTCCCCTACATCAAAATTTCAATGTCTGCCAAAGCTACACCGAGTGACCGATCACTTTGAAAATTTCAGAGATTAATAATAGCAACATTATGTACAAAATGTATATCTTCGAACTTCGATATCGATGACCTAAAGTCAGGTCAATTTTGCGACCTCCTCATTAAAGTCAATGGGAGAAATTTGAGTCGCCTTATTTAGACGGAAGTCATTATAAACACTCTAAAACCCTGAATTGCTAGTAGCTTTGTCACACTGAACATGAAAATGGCACCCTTGACCCCTTGACCTGAGATGACCCCTGAGGTCATCTCAGGTCATTAGAGCTTAACTAGGAACGAGGCGGGTCACTTGGACGTATTCGGGAGCCGAATAGGCTACGGTGTTTTGGAGCCAATACCTGGGAAACCCTACCCGCCCAATGCGAGTTTTCAAGAGTCTGCATGCCCAAATTAACGTTGAGCGCGGCCGTTTTCGGTCGGTTTTCCCCGACCTTGTGGCGAAATCGCCTTATTTATTCAACCAGGGTGGGCTAATTCGCTTAACTAGGAATGAGGCGTTGAAGAGAATTGTTCAAGGAATTGAGCTGTGCAAAAATATTTTTTGTATTGTTAAAACTGTATCCGCCCTCGAACGATAAATATTGTTGACCCATGAGAAACACATCACCTGGAATGCGTTTTGACTTGGCTGGATCTAATATTAGCGAGTATCTGCTAATGCAGTTTCTTGGCTTACATAGTACGCACACAAGCATACATACTTCCTGCCCTTCGTTATTCCTCAATTGAATGAAAATTTTACTATAATAACTATTCCAAGCAGTTAACAGGTTTTAGTGCAGTGCCAATTCGGAACCGTTCAGCGCCGCCAGTCTCCCAGGCGGCGCGTAACGGCCGCCGCGCCGCCGCTCTGGCAGGGTGTTTGATTTCATATCTCTGTTGCTAGAAAAGTTGCGGACTGATTTACTTGATTCTTGCATGAAAAGATCAGCCATTCAATTCTTAGCAGATAACGAAAATTTGACGTCAATTGCACGATCCGCTGCCCATACTGTGGTACTGCCATCTATTGACAAGGCTGGCGAACTAAAGCTGGGCGGCTATTTCCTCTTTTGACACACCATGATAGTTATGTTTGGATCGACGATACGGATCGACTAAAATACAACTTGACCCTTACCGGTCAGGCCCCTTGACCTGAGGTCAAATTTTCAAGTTGACCTTTCCAGGTCAAGTGATAGTTCATTTGACGCGTCTTGACAAGAGGAACACGATGCTGGTAAAAGAAAGTTCGTGCAAGGTTTGAGTCAAAAGTTATTGCAGAAAAACGGTTTTCGAAAAAATCGGCTTTTTGGCACTTTTGTCCCCTGCAGCCGCAGGGGCGGCGCCACGAATTTTTGACTGTGGAGTGCTATGGTGAAAAGGGCCCATGCATATTGAAAGGAGCCCATGGTGAAAAGGGCCCTTGCAAAGTGAAAAGGGCCCATAGGTACATTTATCATGGCGTAAATATTAATTAACACTCGCCGGGCCACGGGGGTTGATGCAACCCCTAAGTTTTTCGCGAATAACGTAAAATCACGCCGCCAAAGTTGGCATACCTTGGCACCTTCCCTGAAAAGTTCAGGTCTGTGGCATTTCAGGTCAGGTCACCAGGTCCGGCACCTGGTCAAAATGGCACTGAAAATGAGCTAGTTTGTCAATGAAATCTAGAGTTGCTCATCGATTTGATTCAAACTGGCAAGGTATGCTAGGCTCACCGAGCTGTATAATCTACCGCCAGGTTTTCCAAGTTCGGGTGACCTGAGGTCATCCAGAGGCTGGATATATTTTTTTTTTTTTTACTTTCCACCCTGTACTTTGCACTTAAACAAAAGTAATTCTTAAAAGTAATTCCTGCGCATAAAAGTAATTCTTATGCGCGGGAAACTGCGAAATTTTGATGATTTCGGACGTTCTGGTATAAGTGAATGTCCTAAACGATCGTGTTCGCCTGTCTTTGGATCCCCCAGTGCCAGGTCGTGGTGTGTGTGTGTGTGTGTGCCCAGGACGAGTCCCCATTGCTGAGTGTCCGCGGATCATAATAGGTGTGTGCCTTGGGGGAGGGCTCCCAGAGCTGAGTCCACGACTTATCATAGATGTGCCCGAGAGGGGGGAGGGCGGGGCTCGTTAGCCCCCGGTGAAGCCACCAATAGTCCCGAGGTCCAGGTGAGGCTGCCCCAGCGGTGCTCTACGCACCCCGGCCCCTATTCCAGGCGAACTTTACACCTGAGGGGCTGTTTCCGATGGCCTTTACACCTCGACCTCTGTTTCAGATGCCGCGGCAGTACGTGCGCGACGGACCGCACTACTCCTTCCAACTAAAAGAATGAGTGCTGCTGACCTGTGCTGAGCGCGGCTGATGTCCGACACGAGTGATGCTAATACATGGCCGGTAGTGAGAATCGTCTGCTGCTGTGCGTCTTCCGCGTTGGATCGAGTTGGTCAGACTGTTAACTCTGTTAGTGACAGTGGGTTTTCTTAATCAGTCTTCAGGTTTCACCATTATCAATTATTCAGATCAGTTTTTAAGTACGCTTTCGACATCGGAAGACAACACAACAACTAGCCGTTACGGTCCAAGGGAGGACATCGACACAAGTGGCGCCACCCTAGCGGCGAAACTAGAAACTATTGATCGTGATCTAGTCATGTAACCTTGACCCGCTCCTGAGGTCGGGGCCACGTGAAACTCAGTCCGTCGGCGACCACTTCCATACGAATATTCAAGTTTGTACCAAATCTGTATGTTGACGAACATTATGAAATGTCCATTTTAGATAAGCTTTCGAAAAACGTTAAATACTGCGCAAAATGACACTAAAATGTAAAATTATGGGCTAATCTGCCATCAATCACATCATCGCATTTTTTTGTCGAATAGAGGCCAGTTATAAAAAAAAAAATGCCAGGCGGCCGCCGAAATAAAATATCCAGCCGAAAAAAATAGCCGCCACACAGCCAAGAGTTTCACCACCAAAAAAAAAAAAAAAAAAAAAATCCAGCCGACTTCGGACGGAAATTATCTGTCGCCGGCAGTCAGCTGGTATCGTAATACGATATCACGTCAAGGAGATTAATAAATTATTTAAAGCATGTTTTCAATTAAATTTAAGCGTGTTTTTATGCAAATGCCACATAAATTTAGAAATATTATTATTGGAAAAAAATTACATAAATTTTCAAGGGTTGTAACCACAAAATAAAGCATTATAAACTTTTATATCTATATTAATGTTCTGGTGCCCAGCAAATGCCAATACAAGGCCACCAAATTGTAAACCTACGTCTTTGATAAAGGTGACGATAGGAAGCTTGCGTTTAAGTGGATCTTCTTCCTGTCAGCCTATTATATTTCATTTTTACAATACATTCAACTTGCAATTTACCTCTTTGTCTGCTTTTAGTCTCACCTTGTAGAGAATCATCGTTTCGACCGTGCACGCAATGTGTGGACCCTCACTCCCCACCTTATATGAGGTGGGGACTAGATGGGACCCGCTCCCGACGGGTCCGGGAGCCGCACCTCTTTCCTAAATGGGGCATTCCACGATAGATCGTACCACTTCTTTCCAATTTGACACCCTTATCTCTCGAAATTTGACGAGAATTGGTCTCATGGGTAATTATGGGCTCTAAATCCACCTGTAACAATTTCAGGCTTATCAGATAAGTATTTTTTTAGTTATGGTGTCAGTGGCGCAGCCAGGATTTCGTTTCGGGGGTCATCGCCTCCAATGCGGGCCCCCTAGTGTGCGGGCCCCCCACCCATTTTTCAGAATCTCCATATTTCATACACATTCTGCTGAGCGGGCCCCCTTTACCTGCACGATGACCCTGAGTGAGTTAGAATCAGAAAATTTGGATAGAACAATAGCTCGGTAATCATCCGGTGTTCAATTTTTACGCAAATTGACCACGACAGAAATATGTTACTATGACGTATGAATTCGTACTTTTCGAGGCCGAAATGTGCCCCTTTCGCAATATGCGCAGTTATGCAATCGGAACTGTTGCCTGCATCTGTCGGACAAGATTTAACTACTATGCATTTCAGACCCCATGAGACCCTGTTTTTCGGCGATAATTTATTTAATATTGATCCAATTGGCTTCAAATTTTCGCACAGCACATTTCAGCTCAAGCGCCAATTTTCGCTAATATGATCTCTTAACAAAATATCAATTGTTAGGGTACTTGTCGTTGCCTCGTAATGTTAAAATCAGCTCCGTAAATCAGTCAGTGGAGTAGAGGCTATCCGTACGTGGGCGTGACGTCACAGGCACGTGACCATTAAGCTCCGCCCTCCCGGCGGACGGAACGGTGACCTTGGCCGGTCAGTCGGATGCGTGGAGCCGACGGGGCAGTAGCCGCCGCACCCAAGGCCGTATGCCGGACCGGGGCGGCTCGCATTGGACGTGGCTGCCTTGCGGTTGCCGTTGCAGTAATAATAACGATACAGCAGAAACTAGCGCTCGTTATTAGCGCACTAGCCTTCGGTATTGCATTTATCGCAAATTAACCTGCACCTTGTCAATCAATAAAGATATATCTACTTTAACACTAAGTTCAGGGCTAGTGACTGCATTTTTGCTTGATTGAACTTCATTACAAAAGGCCGTTGATGTCAATTGACTGTGAACTGATGTAAGACGTCGGTCAGCCTACGTCAAATTTGCAAGACATAGTAAACAGTTACACCGTAGCAATTAAGAAGTGTGGTTAAAATATGAAATATATTATGCTTATGCGTATGCTTGAGATGGATTCATGTGATTGAACACCTTCAGAACTAGCCCATTTTATAATTGGCTAGATTGAGGTCACCGGACTGACTTGACCCCAGGCTTTCCGTTTCGTGTTGAACTGCAAATAATTAAGATACCTGTAAGCAAGTACCCTACTGCCTCACTATTGGAGAGCTTGAAATGTTACTTTAGTTTCACAAAAAGACGCGATTTCTTTACTAGCCTATGCGCTTGTTTCCCTTTTTCTGATGTCACATTTCTACCATGCGCAATAAATCGCACATCACATTTCTGCTTCCTTCTCAACGCTTCCCGAATAACGAACACAGCTCGTGGAGCGATGTCTGAGGCAATCGGAAGTGCTCGCGACTAATAATCCTACTCTGTTTTTTCTGCATACTGAGGTATAACAGCGTCTTCAGAAACAGCAAATGACGCAGCCAACCATATCGATATTTTCAAGTAGTGCAGAGGCTTCGCATGATGTCATAGGTGACAGAATAGTGGCACGACCTGACCATGAGGTACCTAGGCGCCAGAATGTGCATTCATTCAGATGTTCAGATAGCGCATGACTCAGCTCTCTATTTAATGTTGGTTCTGGGGAGTTTAATATCCTCATTTTGATTATTCTTCATATTCTGAGCTGGATCGATGTTGATACAGTGTGGCTAAATTCATTTATCAGTCACCATCGCGCTCGCAACAAACTGTCTGTGATTTGGGACTGTATTCAACATTTACATAAACACCAGATTGTTGGTGAGGTGACAAACACCCACCTGTCGATACAGTCCGAGAAACGTTCAAATCATGCATGCACGTCACGCGTATACATTGGAAATATACCACGATACTCATAGACAAGTGAGCACATTTTGGCTGGAGCCAGGGGTGGCGGTGGGGCCCAATTCGAATGGCCCGGCACTGCCGGGCGAACGAGGCAGAATGAAGCGGCGGCCCGCGCGGTGTGCCGCCGCCCGAAGTGGTTGACGTCACATGTCACGCGAGGTCAGGTGGTGTGACGTCACCCTGGCAGTTGCTCACTGATAGGCGACCAATAAAAGCGTGCAGACTGGCCGCCGGCCGTCTGAACATCATTTTACGTTAGGGGAGGATGTAGAAAAAAAGGCCTGAAAGGATGTCGTTATTTTAATAAAACTTGACTTCGACCCCTTTTATGTCATGAGAAAATGATGTAGAAATATTAAATACTGATAAACTTTGAAGGCATTCTGATATTCGGGATGTTAAATGAGGTTTAAGTTGGTCATATATTTGAACATTTGGGGTGTTCGAATGGTAAAATGGTTGTCTTGGCATGTTGTAACATCGATAAGGAATCGATGAATGACAATTTTCGATGGGGCATTGTTCGTCAAACACATATTGTGCTATTTGGGCCGCAGTGGCGTATCCAGGATCTTGAAAAGGGGGAGGCCAAACCTGCTCAAGGGGCCCCACCCTTACCTTAGGGGCCCCAGTGGTAGCATACTTAAACCACGCACAGGTGCGGTTTTTTGCCACTTTCGCTATGTGAGGGAGCCCTTAGGGACACTTGGCAATCTAAAAACTCTGAAGGCTCATTTTGGCCTCTGAAAGCCCCTCTTCGGCGACAGAGTGAACGACTCTGGCCTCAGCCGGCCACATAATGTTCGGCAACAGAGTGAACGACTCTGGCCTGAGCCGGCCCTATAATGGCCTCAGGAGACCCATGCTATTGCTGACCTCCCAGGGCCCCACGCTGGCTCTTTGGAGCCTTTGAGTCAGTCTGATGGCCCTATGCCGCTCTCGAAGCCACGCCGGTCTCTAGAAGCCCATGCTGACCTCTGAGGGTTCCGCGCTGGCTTCAAAGGGCCATTCATACCTCAGGGAACTCAAACATGCATAAGATCTAACCCGCGCCCCACTGGGGTCTGTGTATAACACGCCCTACTGGGGGGGGGGCTATTCATAGCCCCCCCTCCTAACTCCGAAACTACTGGGCCGATCGTCAAAATTCAAACGGCGTCTGATAGCCCCGGAAAAACTGTCGAGCGAAACCTAATTTCATTGACCTCGAGGTCACCGATGACGTCACAGGTCAGGTCAAAGTAAAAATTATTAGCACTTTGGCTTGTTCACATTTTGGGCTCTGGCCGCCGTCTTACAAGTCAGATCAGGCTCATTTTTGGTTTCCACACTCGTGAACAGATACTCTAGATACCTTGAGGGTACCAAACTTGTACCTTGATTTTCAGGTCAGGGTCAGGTCATCACAGGTCACGAAAATATTATATCATGCGTCGGTCACGTGACACATGTTTTATGGTCCATTTAGGCCATAGATTTCGAATTTGATGTCGTCTGTGTCATTCGAGGTCATTTTGAGTCGAATTTAGCTTAGGTCAGGTCACTTTCAGGTCAAAAAAGGTCAAATTTCAAAGTTGAAATTTTTCAACAAAAAACATGTCTATCGGATGCAGTTTGAGCTCAGGAACACGATGGTGCCATTTATATTGGTGTACGATGTCAAATACGTACTGAAAAATTGATTTGAAAAATTGATAATTGTGAATTTTTTGCAATAGTGCGTATAACTTGGCCATTTTTGAAGATATTTAGCTAAAACTTGCTAGAGTTAGTCATAATAATGCGTTCTGTCACATATATTCCGG